ATATGTTACTTGTGTACTTATATGTTACTTGTGTACTTATATGTTACTTGTGTACTTATATGTTACTTATGTACTTATATGTTACTTATGTACTTATATGTTGTTACTTGTGTACTTATATGTTACTTGTGAACTTATGTTACTTGTGTACTTATATGTTACTTGTGTACTTATGTTACTTGTGTACTTATACACTTGCACAAAGAAATAATTCTGTTTTTGAGCACATACAGATGATCTTTTCTACAGTTATCTATCTACTCAAACTGTTACCATCTCTGTTGGGTCTGAAGACACTGCCATCTTGCCGATGCTCAGAGAAGAGCTGTAACCAGAGGAGGGGGCGGGGACACAGGCAGAGCACAGGTGGGCGGAGCTTCCACAGGGTCTGCACATGCTCTGACTGCCGGCGGAGGAGCTGGACTCGTCCTTCAGGGTGGACAAACTGTGGGCCTGCAGGAGGACCTTGGAGGACGTGGTGGCTGTGGTGCGAGCAGCAGCTCTGGAGGAGGAGCTGGAGGAGGAGGTGTGGAGGTGCAGGAAGTGAAGGTATCCCTCCTTCTCCACTTTCCTCTTCAGGGTGGAGTTCCAGTGGTTTTTGATGGAGTTGTCCGTCCTGAGGAGAGACGGACAGAAAGACAGGCAGCTGACTCGTGCTGACTCACCTGTGCCCAGGTGTGCAGGTGAACGTACCTGCCGGGCAGCAGCTTGGAGATGTCGGCCCAGCGGTTCCCCAGCAGCCTGTGGGCCTGGCACACGATGCGGTCCTCCTCCAGAGTCCAGCCGCTCTTCTTCACCGTGGGGTTCAGGTGGTTGTGCCAGCGCTCGCGGCACTGCTTCCCGTTCCGAGTGTGCAGCTGTTTGGCGATGAGCGACCAGCGCTTCATGCCGTGCTTCTGCACCAGCTCTACTACCTGTACAGGAAGTGACATCACCTGAGTGTTGGAGAAGACAGCAGAGTCCTCAGCAGCTGTCAGGAGAGTCCTTACCCTGCGGTCCTCCTCCTGGGTCCAGGGGCCTTTGACCAGTCCTGGGTTCTTAATCTGCTGCCAACGGTGCTGACACTGCAGCTGTGACCTTTGACCCTGACACACAGCACCCCCCCCCCAGGTTACTGCTGCTCTGTGGGCCTCACACATCTGAGGCCTGAGGCCCACTGGCACTCACCTGGAAGTGCAGAGCAACTGCTGACCAGCTGCTGCATCCAAACTCCTTCACCAGGTGCTTCAGAGTCTCATCCTGAGGACGAAGATCACATTATCATCATCATCATTATCATCATCATTATTATCATCATTATTATCATCATCATCATTATCATCATCATCATCATCATTATCATCATCGTTATCATCATCATCATCATCATCATCATCAACATCATCATCATCATCATCATCGTTATCACCATCATCATCATCGTTATCATCATCATCATCATCATCATCATCAACATCATCATCATCATCATCATCGTTATCACCATCATCATCATCGTTATCATCATCATCATCATCATCATCATCAACATCATCATTATCATCATCGTTATCACCATCATCATCATCGTTATCATCATCATCAT